CGTTTCGTACTTATTCATTTACCAACCGTCGTCGTGAAATTATGTAAAGATCATTCAGAGGACATTATTCATTAACTTTTTTACTTGTGTTTGTATGATACTTTTTTTTTGAATGTTTCTGCAAATTGAGCAGTTCAGTGGTTAAATTATATGTTGTCAGTATTACTATTATTATGCTGATTGACAATTATCGAATTGTAATAAGCAAATGTGTAATCAGGCGTTTTGATTGTGTTTTTGAGCACGTTTGTTTGCATTTTCGTGTGTTTTATTTGTGTTGGTGGTGAGGAAAATGAATGTTACATATGGCGATTTAGACGAAATATTTGTTGCAAGAATGCAGTTGCTTGTGCTTATTTAATTACAAAGCGTCGTCGTGAAATTGCCTAGAGATCATTCAGCGGACATCATGCATTAACTTTTTTACTTGTGTTGCTATGATATTTTTTGTGAATGTATATTTTTAGTTCTTGAATTTAACATTCCGTTCTTAAATAAATTTGAGATGGTATATGCGTATGTTGCAGTTGAGGGCATGATGTAAGTATTACATTACATGAGTGCTTATGGTTGAAGAACTTCTAGTCTTAACTGGTTTCGATCGAAGTTATGTTTTACGATTGAATGCGTTAGTTGATTGGTGTAACCGATTGATTCACATCATTGATTAAATTCTCGTTCACGGTTCATCAACGTGAATGTACCGTTTAATGTAAAGTAGTTAGGATACGTGAAGTTGACGGTAGTATGCGTTGTTCTCATTGTGGTTATTATGACGATTGTAGTGATTTGTGTCATTATTGTTATGAAGGGTGTTATGGGTGGTGTTAATTTCAGGTGAAAACCATCCACAACAGGAGACCATCCGTTTGGTACCAAGCCGAACAGCGTTGAATGTCAGCGGTACCATCCACATCGTTACTAACCACGACAGTTCAAACGAACGCAATCTGTAGCAGTAATGTTTGTGCGACCACCACGATAACACCCACAACGACAACGATCAACAACAACATCACGATTAACATCGGGCACAGCAAGGGCAGCACTGATAAGAATAATAATAATAATGCTAACAACGCTGATAAAACTGATCAAGAAATGACCGATAAGAACAATAATAGTAAAAGTAGTGATAACGGTGATAACAACAGCAATAATGATAACAGAAGTGCCTCATCGCTGAAGCAGCTGAAAAGCAGTTTGCGTTTGGATTTCTCGTCATCGTCGTACAAAAAGCAGACGTATGCTGGGGATTTGTTCTCGTTGTTTAAAAATTCACCTGGTTTTTTTACGCAAGGTTGGTGGTGCAGAAATTTTTGTGTTTATTTATTGAGTCGTATAGAGAGCAATTTACAATTGCATATATGGTTAAGTAGATTTTGGTATGGGTACACTGAATCGCTTTTGAATATCGATGTGGTGGTTAGAGGACTTCCATTCGAGTTATAATAATAACAGTAATGATAAACGCTCGTTGGATTTCTCGTCATCATCATACAAAAGAATCGGTCGCACATTCATGAGATAGGTTTTGGATGAAAATAATTTTTTTGAGGGAGAATAACTGAAGATGAGGAAAGAAATTGCAAGAAAAATTATTGAGAAGGGACTGATTATTGAACAAGCTGTGTACCAACTGGCCAATACAAGAGAATTTCATTTGTTTTTGAATTTGTTTCGTTGGTTTAATGTTTTGACGATGATATTTGTTGTGAGGATGTTTTGATATTGATGGTGTTTGTTTGTTCAGCATCAGCCACTACACCGACCCCAACCAAAGTGTTGTATCCCACCGATGTTACAATGGCACAACGACAGTACGCACAAGGATTTTTAGGTGANAATTTCTTTTCGATTTCAATTCATTTAGATCAATTTCAAATATTTGTTATTTTGCCCTTTCGTTAATGTCATTATGTAATCAATCATCGTAGAGAAGAGAAGTGGTCGTTGATTGGACTGATTGTTTTTTCGTCGCTATGAAAAACTTGTAAGAAAGAGAGATTCTTGGAAATTTCCGTGAAATGTTTGCGATGAAACGATTAAATAAAGGCGTGAATAATCAGCTGAAGCCGATTTTAGTTTTTTTTTTAGTTTCGAGTTTTATGGAAACAATATTTGGAAAATATTTATTCTTTTCATTGAAAAACCAGAATTGAAATTTCAAGTTCGCAGTCGCTCTTTTCATTGTTTTGGTGTTGGATGATTGATAGGAGAGGAATGCAACGCAAAAGAAATATTGCTTAATCATGAATATTATTCTCATAATCACGATAATTTATTTTGTTTCTTTTCGATATTATGAATGAATAATCAATGGATGGCCGATTCATCGGTTTTATCGTTTTCATGTTTCCTGAATAATTTTTTTCACTTTTCATGCAAATTGTTCATTTTCGAAAGCCGTCAATTTTCTTCTTTTAACAAAACAGAATAATTCAACCTTCAAACAAGTTCTATGTGAAATATTTTGCGTTNTTTTTTTTTGAATATTCGATTCTGAATTTTAGCGATCGATCAAAAAACTTGAAATTTCATAATACATTCATGAGACAGTGTTTGGTGGAAAAAAATTTTTGAGGAAAATGACTGAAGACGAGAAAAGAAAAAAATAAGAAACTGTTGAGAATTGATTGGTTCAACTTGAGTGAAATCAATCGAATAAGAGCCTTCAAAATTTCCATGAGCATAAAGTGATGACAAAGTGAATGATGGCAATAGCTGTGGAGGAAAAATGTTAAGGAGAAAAATATTTCTTGATGGATAATGATGGAAACATTTCAGATGCATTAGCTCAAGTGCAAAAGCTGAATGGGTTTGTACCAGCCCCGTCACTGCTGAATTCACCGAGTTTTTTGACACCATTGATACCGTCGGCGAATGCTAATGGTGATGCTGCGAAAACAGTGAATAGCCCCGTGCTGACCAGTCCAACACGGTATGTTCCATTTTCCTTTTTTTTTGTTTCAAAAGGGTTGTTTTTTTCGGAAAACTTTTCATAATTTTGATTCATTTTGATTTGACGGCAGTTTTTGTACTTTCCTATTGAATCCATACTGGTTTTTTGATTTGATTTAATTTGACTGTCTCACTGTTTCAACGCATTATTCGAACTTGATAGTTGATTGAAATGTTTTTGTGTGGTGATGCTTTATGATGTTTATATGACTGTTGCGAATTATCAGTGATACGAACTTGGCAGTTATATTGTTAAGTACCAATGGTACGAGTGAGCTTGAAGTGAAGTAATGTCGGGATTGCTTAGATTTTTGAAATACGAGCGATCAAGAAATTTGAATCTTTCATGTTAAGCACCAATGATATGATTGAGGTTGAAATGCGAGAAACTGAAGAAATTCGAATTTGAACCTCTCAATCAAGAAATTAAATTAGCAGCAGCAAAATTCGTTCTTGAACCCTTCAAATTGTGTTGTTGGAACGATGACTTTCGAGAGACTGACTGAC